GGTGTTTTAGCAGGGATGCCCTCCTGATTTGTACCGTCAATGTGGCCCGTGAAATTGAGTTAGACACCCCTGCTATAGAGGTTAGCTTTAAACAGAAAGTGGTTGACTTCAGGTTCTTCCTTTTCTTGTGTGATGGTTTGTATTCTCATTGAAATGCTGCTTTGTGAGATGGATCAGAACGCTGTGTAAGCTCTCCTCCTCATTAATGCTACCCGGCGCCTCTCTGCTCCTGCTTTCATCTCCGCTTCGCTGGCTTCAGCTGACCAAGCAGATCCGTGTAAGTTCCTGGCCTGCAACGAGTTTTCCCGCTGCGTGGTGAACAGCTGGAGCGGCGAGGCCGAGTGCCTGTGTGATCCCGGCTACAGCGCGGTGGACGGCCGGCCCTGCCGGGACGCCTGCTCCCTGCAGCCGGACTACTGCCTGAACGGAGGCGCGTGTGAGATAATCCCCGGCCACGGAGTCACCTGCAGGTACGCACAAACCAGGGGTGTTCAAACAGCGGCCCCGGGCCATTGGTGGCCCCCAACTTCAGTTCATGAGCGATGCAAATTTGTCCTGTTCTTCCCAGCGGAGGATGCAAACTGGGCAAATTATTTAAATTCCCTTTGGGTTCAGTAAAATATTCTTGAATTAAAATTGATTTGAATAGAAAAAGTAAAGTTTTTTTCACTCTGCTTTTATTTAATTTATTAAACCTGGGTAAATATAACAAGTGTTTTAAAGAAAGTGACTCAACTCTTTTTTCTTATAACAGAATACATTTGTTTATTAAAGCCCCCGAAAATTAAAAAACTAAATAAATGTGCAAATGACTTTGCACATTTTTGCATTTAAAATGTACAAAGTCATTTTGAGGTTTAGGATCTCCAAAGAATAGCCTCCATTTTCTACAAAAAACAACTTTAATTGGTTGATTTTATTTTAATCTTTCTTTTTATTTTTATTGTCATGCAAGTAAATTTGACTTTTTTATTTTGGTCCAAAACTTTGGCCTCCTCTGGCATAAACTGAGGAACATTGTTTAATTTTCAGACGCTGTAATGTAAATAATATATTATTTCTACCTGTACTGTAAAGACGTTTCAGGGTCATTGTATTCATGTATAAAAAAAGTTAATTTCCACCAAACATTCTGATATTGGTCTCAGAAATTTTTGAGTTTCGAACATCCAAAACTTTTGACTTTTAAACTCAGAAATTTTCCTACAGGGATTCTAAATATAACTTAAAATAACGGTAACACGTTGTTTGAATGGACGTCCATATCTGACATGCCAATGTTATAAACATGAAGGAGTCTTCATGGATGTTGGACTGTTGTCATGAAGTGTTATTTGGTAAATGATGACATGTTTAATGCACAGTTTCATTAAAAGTTTTATTAAAAGTGTTACTAAAATGAATAATAAAGCACAGAATTAGACTGAACAGATCCACCTTTACCTGATGTACAAATTGTTTCAGTATTTATTGCACATTGCATTAAAACTTTTGGAAATACAGCATGTAAATGATAGATTGCAGGGGTAAATTGAAATGCATGTCGTCTGAGTCGACTCTGCGCTCTGGGGGATTTATTCATAAACATTTGCTTTCAGAACTGGAAGTGCTAAATTGTTTTTGAATCACTCCTGCAGAGAAAGAAACGGTAAACTATTAATTTTCTTTTCTTCAGGAAAGTGTCTGGGGTTTCATTCTGTTCTTTGTTTCAGATGCCCTGCAGGTAAATACTGGCACTACCACGGCGCGCGCTGCAGCGAGCTGGTGTCGGTGCCTCTGGACCCGGCTCTGATTACCACCTGCCTGCTGGGGAGCCTCTGCCTGGTTTGCGCCGTCATCGGCATTTTAATATTCATCAACAAGAAGTGCATAAGGACCAGGAAGGCCGTGGCTCTGGTGTAAGTCAGAACCTTGCTTTGCATTCGCTTTGCATAACTCATCCTTGTTCTCAGGGCGTCGGCACTGCTGTAAATGCGTTTGTGTGCGTTTGCATCGCAGGCACACCCATGCACCGTATGCCTTTGAGAACACTTTGAGGGAGAACCCGGTTTTTGAGAATGATGACGGTGTCTTAACTCATGTTTCCACTCTGCCGTGTCCCTCAAGCTCTGCCTCTTCGCAGTCTGAGCAGGAACATTTTGCCTCGGTTGAAAATATACACCTGAGTATCGAGGTACAGCGAGAGGATCGGCATGAAAACCTAACCTGACTAAACACTAACCTCAAATCTACAGAGCAGGAAAACGCCTCAGGTTGGCTCGGTTTGCTGCTCTGAGCCGCTCGTCCTCACACCTTTAACTCTGCTTTGTAGATTTCACCTTTGACCTCAGAGGCATTTGCTGTAGAACAGGGGTGTCCAAAGTGCAGCCAGACAGTCAAATTTGTCCCACAGGTTCATATTTTTCTCACAACATAAAATATTTGGATCCTACTAAAGCTGAAATGATATTTTATGAGTTTACATTAAAATATTTTAATAATTGTCCAGCCAGAGCACCTGGTGCTAAGTAATAAAACATAATTGAGTGAAACTTCGAGGAGTTTTAATAATCAAGGTAGTCGAATCGTTACATCCCTTCAAAGTATTAATCTTTTAATCACCAAACTTTCTGCTTTCTCTTTAACTTCATGTTAGATAGGAACACCGACTAATTACATTATTAAACTTTTCAGATAAAAAGATAAAATCAGTTTTCTTCAATTGAGCCAAAATAAATGTTTTCATGTGAAACCTTTTGAATTTTGAGATACAAAAATAATCTATTTTCTTTGTTTAATTAAAATATTTTCATGCTAGATTTATTGTTGAGCAGTAAAAGTTTTTGTGATTTTAGTTTTTGGAAAATATTTTGTTTTTTGTATGTTTGAGTTGATTTTGGCTGTTAGAAAATGTTTGGACACTCCTGCTGAGTAGATTTACTTCCACTGCAAAAACACAAAATCTTTCCAAATGTTTTTGGTTTATTTTCTAGTGCAAATACCTTAATATATTTTAAATAAGACAAAACTAACATATAAGTAACTTATATAATATAGAAGCTTGTTTTAAGTCCTTAATGTTGATGAATTTCATCACTATTTGAATTTGGGGTAGATTTGTGTAAAATCTTTGCTTTAATCATCTTTATTTAGAAGGAAAAACGTTAAAATGTGTCTCTTCTCTGCAGATCCCCAGACAACTCTACACAACGAGATCAGAAAAGTTAGTGTCAGACATGGTGGGTTTCCATCACAGTTTGCCACGCAGCGAGGTAAGACTGGCATGAACTGCTTTGCTCTAAATGTGTCTGCGAATCTGGAGGTTATTTTTTATTAAAGTTCCTTGTGAAGGTTTTCAGCTCTACACATTATCTGTGATTCCATTACCAAGGCGCACAAATCATCAGTATTCCACTAATATCAAAAAAACACAATTTCTCAATTGTGTTGTTGTTATTAAACACAAAACTAGGATTATTTTGGATGGATGGTTGACATTAGGGTTGGATGAAGGGTTGAAGTTGAACTTTGACCTGTAGCTGTAACTGTTTCTCCAGATTATTGTCACATGTGAACTGAATACATGTAATATCTACCCCGTTTTAAATGTTTTATTTAGAAATAAGTAATGTAGCTTTTTTCTTCTGCTTCACAATTATGCATTTATTCTGTCGGTTCAAAAATGTTTTTTGTAATTTGCCATGTTTCTCAAATGAATGTGATGAAATAATTTAAAACTTATACCTGTTTTTAGTTTTCACTGTAGTTGAAAATCATTTTGCAAAGTATAAATAACTTGACGAAATATTTTCCAGCTGTTTGACGCCTGCAAAGGTAAATGTCCATCAAAACTATCATCAGTGATAATTTTACTCACCAACCAGAATCACTGCAGCGTTTTTGTGATCAAAGTTTTCCCTTAAAGCTGCAGTAACCTTTTTTAAAATACTTTGTTTACGTCTCCATGTCGTGACGGTTTGGTATGAGGTGGTTAATCTGTGAAAAAATCGAGTTCCTCTGCCTCCTCCCAGTGTTAACTAGAAACAACCAATCAGAGCCAGGAGGCGGGCCTTAGCGCTGTCAGTCACTTAAATCATCATTGCTGCAACTAGCATAGTCTGTCATAAATGCTAAGGCTAGTTAGCATCGCTACCAACGACAGTTTTACTTTAGTGATAAGTTGTTTTTCCCTCATTAACATATTTACCAGCAAGTACATGAGGTTGATTGATAGCGCTAAGACCCGCCTCCTGGCTCTGATTGGTTATTTTTGGTTGGGAGTGATGCATTTCTCCAGATAGGAATAGCAGCTCAGGGAGGTGGAGGAGATCGATCTTTCACACTGTGTCTCAAACTGTCACTATATGGCAACAGATTTAATAAATATGTAAAAAACTGATTTTGAAAAAAAAAAGAACAAAGTCACCTGCTGCAGTTTTAACAAAACAAAAACAATCCTAACAACTGTTGCACAATGGAAAACACTTTCCAAATGAAGAGCTTGTGATTTCAAGCTTTTGTAATTTCTGTGTGGAAATCTCCGTCTCCCATATGAATGATGATTGCAGAGCGTTTCAGATGCAAACTGACTCTTTGCATCTGGTTTCCTCCAGACGTGGCGACTGTCCAGTGAGTACGGGAGGTGCTGCCTGCTCCGGGCGCCAGACAGCGACTGTTTCGAAGTCACGGTTCTCTGATAACACCTGATCTGGAGCGAAGCAGGAAAAAACGCTGCAGTTTCACTCTGCATAGTGTTCATAGTGTTAGACAGAGAGCTCTGCGGATGAGGCTGCGCTTGAGGGGAACTAATATTTATTACGCGTCATAAATGGTAGGAACATTTCCTGTATACGCTTGGCAAAGGTTGCTCTTTCCTCACAATGAGGTATTTATTATTTACTGGAAGATGCACATGGCTGTATCTCACTGTATGTGTAGATAAAGTAATATATTTTGTTTTTGACGTTTTTTGTGTCCCAAAAAGAGAATGTACTGTAAGAGCTACTGACACTCCCATTCGCAAACTTATCGATAACCATTTGATCTGGACATATTTTTATACATTTTTCATGTAAAGCAAATAAAATAAAGAGTTTTAGACAAACAAACTGCATGTTTTCTGTCAGTTTAATCTGTATTTAGATGCAACTGCACACATTTTTGGAGAATCAATTTAATTGAAAAAAAATAATTATAATACTGAACTTTGCAAAAGCAAAACAATATGATTAAAGTGTCTAATGGAAGATAAAATATGGAGGTCAAGGAGTAAATACTACTTTTAAATCTGATGTTAGAATTTATAGTGGAAGCAATTTAGTTAAAAGCTGAAATAATATTTTATGAATTTATTTTCTGACAATTTCAAAAATGTTCAAAATGGGATAAGCCACAAAAGGTCACATCAAGACAATAGCTGTTCATAGTGCTCTGTTCAAGCATATTAATGGAAAATTAAGTGGAAGAAAAAAAGGTGTGAAGCAAACCTTTCAAATAAAAAACCCACAACTTAATATTTAAATGAAATTAAATATTTAAATTTATTTAGCTACATTTTCTTTAGATGCTCGTGTGAAAATCTGTTATACTTCATAAGTATAAAACCTCTAACAGCTTTTATGTGACAGTTACACAGAACAACACATTTACCCACTCATCTAAAAATATTAATTATGAACTGCTGCTGTAATTTCAAAACCAAAAATCTTGATAGAACCAAAAGACAGAAATCATCTGGGAATTTTTCAGAAATGTTTATTTTCTACAGTTTTTCCAGAGAAAAGGCCATCAAGCTCAGTTTCATAACTCAGATTTTGGGATTTTTTTCAGGTAAAATATTTGTTTAACCATTGAGAAAAAACAAAACATAACACAAACACCAACATTATTAGCTGTAAAACAACCCTGTATGCACAAGACTGCAAACATGAAAACATTTCCCTCTTCCATATCAAATGAGTAACAATAAAAAAGACTCCAGAGGCAGATTGAGAGCAGCCAGGAGAACAAATGACTTTCTATTCTTTACAGGCAACATTACGTGAAATCTCCCATAACTGACAACATAAAATATTAGAATGGTCTAATTCAGTCGGCATGAGCTTGTTTGAAGAATAAGAATTGGATTCTGACTTTGCTAAAAACTTATGACATCATGTATCTTGGTGTAAATGGTGACTGTCCTTGGTTATAGTCACAAAAACCATAAAGCATGAATTTTATGGCATCATAAGACAGTAAAAGCTCTAATTTGGTGTCACTGTTTGGGTTTTAAGTTTACAGCTACAGAGGATGAACCAGTTAAGACGTCTGTGGTGCAACTTTATTGCAATTTTAAGGCCTCAAAGTGGGATTCTGAATTTCTGCATAGATTTCAGAAAACAACCAGTTTGCTAACGCTACTAAATTAAACTGTTGCACTGCAAATTAATAAAAAATAGAAAATTAAATCAGTATAAGAATTGCTATCAAGTGAGCATTTAGAGATGAACAGGGAGCATCTTTGCACGTTATTTCCTAATTTCCCACAAAGCGCAGAGACAGTGAACTGCTCACGCAGAAGCATGTTTTCACTTGAGGAGACTCTGCAGCATGGCGGTGGCGTACGTTGGCCGAGCCTGCTTGTTCTCTATCGCCCTCTTCAGGTACTGGATCCCGTCGCAGCGCTCCCAGATCTCCTCAAACTGCCTGGGCAGGATCTCAGCGCCCCGCTTCCTGGTCAGACCCGTCTCCTCCAGACTCAGCTCACACATCTCCATGTCGTCTTTACCTTCATGATGAAGGAGGGCGAGAAAGCAGAGAGATTTACGGCCAGCGCTAAATATTAAGAAAAAAACAACTTGATAAATGAGAACATGATGACTGAATTACTAAGTATAAACCTCTCAATTAAAAGTGATCTATTATAAGTCCTTGGACAGATTAGGAGAGATTATGGGCAACAAAACATCCTACGTTACATTTTTTGTACAAAATGATTCTTGGATCTCATTATCTACCTATTTTCAGCTGTTTTAGGGTCTCTGTTGCTTTAAATCCAAATAAGCTGCTGCTGGCCACGCCCCCAACTCAACATTTACACTCACACATGAAAAATGGCTGCAAACAGATGCGTAATTACAACTGTACATCTTTGAAAAGCAGAAGTGGAACCTCCTGCACAACCAACAGGAACACAGCAAATGGTTTCTGCAGTGTAAGTCAACAACAAAACACTCATCTTTTCCAACAGCCATTGTACAGTGCATACAGAACCTCCTGAGGTTCGGCATGTATTACTGTATCATGCCGTGCTGCATTGATACAGTAATTCATGCAAAAGGAGCCCCAACCAAGTCTAAGCTCAAATTTCTGAACTGTTTATTATTCTGATGTAATATTTACACTTTTTTGCTACAATCAATTGTTGGTTTCTATCAGCTGTAAGCCAGAATCATCCAAATGAACAAGAACAAACATTTAAAATATATCAATCTGAGTGTATTCACTCTATATCAAATGATTTTTAAATTAAATTTTTAGATTTTAATAAGTTTTTAATTTATATTTTAATTCATTAGTTTCATGAAACGTATTGGAGCTTCGTAGTTAGGAAAGAGATGAACTGACAGAGATACAAATAAAGTTCTAAAAAAATACTTTTTGCATATTTAGAACTACTTGGGGATTTAATTAAAGAAAAACTACAAACATCTTTTCTACAGATTTTTTTGAAGACTTTAATTTTCTTTCATATAATTTTTCAGCATCAGTGACCAAACATGATTAAATTTCCTTTGTGTGTATGAAATGATTTTCCTAAAACAAAGCCTTTTGAGGAAACATGACAAAGAGCGAGCTGATGACTCACCTGCGACCAACACAATGGGCTGTTTGTCTGGATGCAGCTCCATCTGTCTGGCTATCCACGGCCCATCGAAGTGGGCGTACCACCAGCCCTTCTTTTTATTCTGCGGGTCCTTGTACTGGTCAGCGGGTCGGATGAAAGGAATCCGAAAGTATCGCTGCTGGCGGTTCATGGCGACTTCCTGATGCTGGGCCGGAGTTGGAGGAGCCGGGTTCTGCTCAGCTGCAGTTCAATCATTTGAATAACAAATGTAAAATCCAGAGGAAATTCAAGCTGCCTGGTCTGATATGAATCAAAGAATAATATTTAAAAGTTCTTTAAAAAGAGAACTTTGGTTTGGTATTTTAAAGTATTTCGGTGCTGCTGATTTTTTTTTAATAACAAGGATTATTAAACATAAAAAGGAGAGATTTATACTTTATGTCACAAATGTAGCCTGAAAAAGCTTTTTATTCACTGATAAAACAGGAATTTTCCTACTTTGACAATAAAAGCACAGCTTAGCCTTTGGCTTTTTAAAAAATGATTACTATGAACTGCAAAAGGGAGGCTGTCATCCATCCAAATATTCAGCTATTTAGCATTCAGGTTTTCAATAAGGTTTACTCTAAAAGTAGAAAAACTAGCATTATCTGAGATTTGAGAGGAAATTTTGGATCATATGTTTTCATCTTAAAGGAATCACTTTTTCAATACTGCAACTACATTTTTTTGAAGGAAAAAGATTCTTTAGAGTAAAGATAAAAAAATAGTTTATTTCAATATAACAAAATTTTAATCTCCTTAAGTCCACAAAGTTAATATTTAAACAGACGGTGTTAGCTTACGTTGTCTGGGAGGTTTACTGTGTCACGGTATGTCGGATCCAGGAGCTTTACTGACATTTTAAAGTCGCTCTCAAACATTAGCATCATAGCATTAGCTTTTAATGTTAGCACAACTAGCATGTGACATTGGTTTTTGTCTGTCCGTCATATGGAAAGAATCTACAAAACAATGCTATGGTGTTAGCCTTGTCAGCTAAAGATGGTCCCATATTTTTATTCTGGCTAAACTCGCCATGTTAGAGTGTAAACCCTTCAGCAGCAACTCCACTGACTGCTATCGGACAAAATGTGATAGTTTGGGCAAAATTGAAATGATCAGTTTGCATCGATTTTGACACAAGTGAGTATCTTTTCTGGTAACAATCACATTGAGATCTTGGTTGTTTTACGGCTGAAAGACAGTCTGAAGCCTGACTACCTGGTAGTAGAGTCAGTGGAGTAAAGTAGGGTGTCATCTGCATACAGGTGAACTTTCCTCTTAATATTATTGACCCAAATCTACAACCAAAATGTGGCCTAAAATTGAGCCTTGAGGGATTCCTTTTTAAAAGCCTGGGCAGCTATAACCTATATCACAATATTGACAAGCTTTAGAGTAAACTGTGGTGTCATCTGCATTAAGATGCACTTCAACTGTGGAAATATTGTTCCCAATGCTTTTAATAACTTTAACTTAAATAAGGTTTAAAACTGAGAATAACTTTATTAGAGCCAATAGAGGAAAGCAGAGTGTCATCTGCATAATGGTGCAGCTTAGCAGTATTGATCTTCTTTCTGGTTTTATTAAAGCCAAATTAAAAATAAAATATGGGTTTAATCTGTCCATTGAGGAAATCCTTTTAAAATATTCAACCTACTGCACCAAGGTGTCCATCTGTAAAGATGAAGTAGATGTTGTGAAAATCAAAAAGCAAGAAAAAAATCTATGAGAGCTGCTCAGGTTTATGAGCCGTTTACTATAACCAGATTATTTTTCCTGCTACTATAAGTACAACCAGAGCAACAAGGAGACAGGAACAGTAATGCTGTTTACCAACCATAGTCAGTGATAGATTTAGGAACCCTCATGTCGCTCCCATCATCATTTTGTTTCTTGTTCTTGGACTTCCAGGAGTGATAAACCTTCAGACGACGGTGGAACTCCTCTCTGCAGGCCGCCAGCAGCTCAATGTCTTTCAAAACAAAGAAAAGTTTGTTAAAACTCACAGAAATATTTACATTTAAAAGGATAGGCTGGGATCTATTGTCTAGAAAATATTCAAGATCTTCAGGTTAATCTTCTACCTCAATGGATTTTTAAAGTGATGCATTTAAAAAGCAAATCAAAATACAACAGAATAAATTCTCCCAGATTTGGTCTCTTGCTGATCATTAGATTAGTTTGCAGATTGAAATAAGTTTCAGCTGGTTTGTTTCACAGCAACAAAATTCCCAAAATATGCCAAAGTTAGCTGCCTGCAGAATGAGTCTAAGTGTAAAATATCTTCTTTAACATAGTTTGTCATATTACAAACACAAACCTAACTGGCCTTTTATTGTTACTTTAAAAATATGGCCTCCATGAAGAAAGACATCGTTGAAAGAAAATTCATAAAACATTTACTAAAAAACTAAAGTTTTAACCTGCGTGGGAAACGAAGTGGGAGAACCTTAAACACACTTAATGGAACATGGTGGTGGCAGCGTCATGCTGTGGGATTTCCCCTTTTAATACAGAATGGGAAGAAAACAAACTTATTTACTTGCACTACCTTATCACACATAAACTGTATGGTTGCCAGAAAAATGTTTAATTCAGGAATTGATGTCTTAAACAAATGTATTTTAACCTAAAAAGACTTTATTGACCCAAAAAGGAAACAAAATGTTGTATTAACTCATATTATTTCAAATTCTTCTGATTTATTGTAGATTTACTTGTTAGTAATGCCACTCATAAAATCATTACCAGATCAATATTGTCATTTTTCATTAATTCATTAACATTAAACCTTCAAACGTTCACAGCTAAAATTATTGTGAAAAGTGTTTCTACAAAGTTTTGACTCAGCGAAGTAAACGCAAATTAATATTCTTCATATTTTTACTTGTTTAATAAAATGCACTTTACATTGCATTGGTGTAAAAATTTAGATGGAATTATGTTAAAGTTTGTGAAAAGGTTCTGCTGATATGAATACTTTTGTAGGTAATGATTTCACTTAGATTCTGAGGACAAATGATCAATGCATTGAAATGAATTAATAAATAAGGTAATGATGAGAATCTGCCACATTTCTAATGAGGTACTTGTGAAACATCATCGACACCATTGTGGATAATTATCCAGATGTCCTTGGAAAGTCGAGGCCTGATGAGAGTTTAGCATGAAGAGAAGCATCAATGTGTAAATCAGCCAAAAGTTGTCGGCTTTTCATGTTGCCTCAGACTGAAAAGGAAACATTAACAATCCTTTTACTAAGGAAACAGTTTCCTCTCCTCATCACGAAGACACAGAAATGAGCAGCAGATGCAAGAAAATCCTCAACTTTGCTCTTTTGATGTCTTTTTAGGCAAGACATCGTGTTCACAGCTGGAGTCGAAGATGATCAACAGACACTTTGGCAACTAAAAAAACAAACCATCAAACAGATGTAGAAAGATGGCGCTGAATGAATTTGGTTATTATTAAGCGCCAAATATGAGCTGGTGCTGAATTACTTAACATGGTGCCTGAAAACTGCAAGCAGGTTGGGAATGAAGGAGGGAAAATATAAATTTCATTAACAGCTCTCACACCTAAATCTGCTGGTAATGGAGGTTTGAGAGCTGAACAGGATTCTCACCACAGGAAGTGTTGATGACATCTCTCAGCTCAGCATACTTCCACTTGCTGAGATCGTACTTTTTCACGCCGGCAGCAGCTTTGGTCGCCTGCACCTGAGCACCCCTGTGGTTAGGAACAGACGAAGGTGTGTGAGAAAGGTGAAACAGAACCTGTAGGTGCAGACAGGTAAGTTGGGAAAGGTGAGATTAGTAGAGAAAAAGTAAATGTTTTGCATGTCACTAAGGTGATTGATTAAGAAAATAATTCAGTGCAGTTAAAGTAGTACATAATAGTCATACATCAAATATGACTTGAAATAAATTTGACTTCAAAATTGGGCCTCTGTCTCTTTAAAAAAACTCCTGCTCTTTCTGAAACGCTGCCTTCAGGAAGTCATTACAACATGGCTCCTTTATTAACCCTTTAACAACATTTTAATCAGCTTTTCACTGAGGAGTGGTTCCTATAATGAGCCCAGCGGAGGAAATGTTCCACCAAGTGTTTGCTAATTGCTGCTGGCTAGTCTGAAGGGGCAGAGTGGCTGTTCTGTGAGGTAGAAGCTCAGTAGTTTGGAAACTGCAGCTGAGAGGTGGAGCTGCGTCTCGAAGGCGGGGCTAGGTCCACCCAGGCGTTCTGCACAGCTTTTTGATGACAAATGACATAAATAAACAGCATTTCTCTGGTGGAAATGAGCTGCAGAGACGGCTGGTTGCCATGGAGATTAAAGGATTTCTCAAACATGCTTGGAAGAATCAAAGCAAAATTCCAGGTTTGTTTCTGATGAGGGAATAATATGACATGAGGTAAAGCTCAAAAAGTTGATTTTACTCAACACTGCCCCTTTAACATACAATCCACTCTGTTCTTACTTTAGTTTAAATAACATTTCAGCTGTTTTTTTTCTGGATTGTATAATAAATAGTTCAGTAAACATCCAACTCAGATCGCAGAATTTGAAATATATTATTATTATTATCCTTGTTGTTATTATTATCGTTGTTATTGTTATTCTTGTTTCTTATATACGTTTTTTGTCTTTGTGTGAACCTTTACACCTGACGCTCCTGAATTGGACAGTAAAAGCAGTTTCTCTTCTATTCTTGTTTTGTATTTCTATTCTGCAGAACACAGAAAAAAGAAAAGCGAGGCAAAAGACGCAGTGCTTTTATATAAATCAGATTAATAGCACCAGATGTAATTTCAGCAACTTAACAGATTGCTCTGTTCTGATCTCGTGTCTGCAGCCCTCCTGCTGAGTGGAACCAGCTAATGCCATAATGGGAACGAAGGGATTTGCCTCTGCTAATTACAGTCAGCATAGTGTCTCTGGCTGCTAATCTATGAATCATTGGATTATCTTTTAGAAATCTTACTGACTGGAAAGATGAAACGGATTTGGGATCATTGTCATTCCGGCTGCGACTTGTGCCTGAGTGGAATGGTTGTAAATGTGAAAAGAAGCCTTAATTTTGTCGCAGGGAGAAGTGGAAGTGGAGGAACGGCCAGCTCTTTGCTCCTGGCAGCAGGCTAAAGGGAAAACTCCTGGCTGAAGAGAACGAGCGGAAGAGAGATCTTCTCCGAGAGCCGTCTGCATATTTCTGCTGCACAAACGCTCTCCTCTGTTCACAGGCAACGCAGATTTAAATATGATCTGCAAAACATCCGATTGCTGTCAAGGATCAGCTGAATCATAAAAACATTTTGTGTTTAACCCTGGCGTATGGCTGAGCGATTTTTGGGGTTTTGAAGATTTAGTTCAGATTGATTGGGATTGTTTTCATAGTTCAGAGCGATGTCAGCACGCCCACGGTGGCCATCTTGTTTCAAAAACATGTTTTACAGCTTTTATTTGTTTGGATTTTGAATTCAACTCTACACTAGACCCAGGATAAGATTTTATTTTTATTACAAGAATAAAGTTGTAATATTAGGAGAATTAGGTAGTCATTTTATGAGGTAGTTATTATTTGAACAATGACTACCTCATTTTTTTTTTCAACCTGAAAAAAAAAATCTGATTTGTGCCACTTATATGTATATGGACCTAAACTGGATTTGACTGTTTTCAAAGCATCTGCAGTCTGAATGTATTTTATCTGACTTTCAAGTAAATGACAAGAGACATGCATCATAATTCTGCTCCAGAAGAAGCTAGATGTGGCAAATCAGGATGTAAACAAAGGCTGAAAATGATAATTATGAAATTATGAAAGAAGTCTGTCAGTGGAGTGCATCACATCCAGACACACTTCTCTGCAGAAGTCGATGCTCCACAAAAGGCCGTTGCTGTTTCTTTTCATCAGCTTTATTTGTGATCTTGTGACGGTGCCGTCAGCTCTCTTTGCTGAATAAACTATAAAATCCATCCACAGGCGGCGGCGGCGGCCGTTGGTATTTCTGTAAACAGATGCTGCTGCGTGACGTTCTTCTTCTGTGCATGCGGATCACTTTGGGGTCGTAATCCGTTCACACAGAAGTCTGACTGCGGTTCCAGTTAATTAGTAATATAAACAAAAATGAAAATCTTAATTTAGCATCTGCAGAAATGAGCCAGCACTGTTGGGATCATTATTACAACATCTAATTTCTCTATGGGGTTAAATAAAGTACTTTTTGATTTGAATTCAATTCATGACCAAAGTAAATACAAAGTAAAAAATCTTATAACTAGAAAGTCCTAAAAAGCCTGAAGACATGATTTTACCACCAGTTCAATCAGACAATATGATCATAAACAATATTCTGATTTCACTTTCATTAAAATTAAACATAAATATACCAATTATATGATAGATAATTATAAATGACAAAAAATCAGCATCAAATCATCAATAATGTTGATTATTAACCTCAATAATTTGATTGAACAAGTATAGAGGAGAAGTTTTACTGCTGGATTATAATCTGGTATTTATTTCAGGCAGCTGAGAGATGTGGTGCAACAGCAGGGATTAAGAGAGTCTAGGATTAATTGAGCGACTACGGCTGGCGTTAGGTCCACCTGCTCAGGTGTCTTACATGACTCTGGTTGAGGATGAAGAGATAGGAAGACCTGAAAAGAAGTCATCGCTGGAAAAACACAGCAACAGGAAGAGGTCAGTAACTTTTGCACGCTCAGATGGGCCTGGGCGGGCGTTGTGCGCGCGGCGCCGTGCGTCGGCTGAGCCTACCTGCGCAGGCCCGCGTCGCCCTGGCCGTCCTCGCTGATGAGCTCGGCCTCGCTCTGAGCGATCCTCATGGCCAACTCGCGGTCGCGTCTCTCCTGCTCCACCATGGCGGCGCGCTGGACCTGCTCCTCGCGCTCCAGAGCCAACTGTGCGTCCAGTTCTGCCTGCACACAAAAACCACAGAACACACCTCACCTCTACATCAGGGGGGTTCAAACTGTGGCCCAGGGGCTGTTTGAGGCCCTCTGGGTGATTTTGTCTGGCCTCTCAGTTCAAGAATGGAGCGAATTTGAGATTCATTTTGAGATTTTTGTGAGGGCTGTGAGGGAGATTGGTGACCAGCCGATTGTGAAGCCGATCTTATCTACCCCAACAAAAGCCTAAAAATAGATTCATCATAGAAATTGTGAAAAACCTGGTTTATATTTTGGATCAACAATGGTTAGAGAAGCAGCATTCAGCTTCTATGCACCTAAAATCTAGAACAAACTTCCAGAAAACTGCGAAATAGCTGAAACACTGAGTTCCTTTAAGTCAAGGCTATAAACCTGCCTGTTTAGAACCATAATAAATAGAAAATTAACCAACATATTTGATGTGTGCTGATGACAAAATGCAATGTTCACTATTAGTTTTCACACCTGCTGGCTATACATGTTTAAGATTTTTAGAAATGTTTTCTCGACATAAAGGCCTTTGAACTGCCGTGTTGCTGAAATGTGCTTTACAAATAAACCTGACTGATTTACAGATTCATTTTTCTACAAAAATTAAGCTACTTTTCTTTGCTAAAATATTGTCTATCTGGCATGTTATTGAGAGAGATAAATCTTCTCAGTTTTAATTTAAAAACATAATGTGGCTCTCGAGTTTTCGCAGCACGACAGTTTTGGCTCTAAGGGCAGAAAGTTTGGAGCCCACTGAGCTCCATAAACATGCTCCTGTAAAGCTACTGATGCTGCTTTGAGTACCAGACATTTGGTAATAATTACAGTAATATTTAAACTCCACAGGTTTCCTTCACTAGTTTTATTCTCCCTGCTGTGCAGAAGAGGCCAGGAAAAAGCTGGAAGCAGGGGATTAATAAAACTAATTAATCTGATTTTTTATTAATTTTGTCAGCATTGCATGGAAACTTTTTAGTCAAAGTTGAAAAAACATCTCAAACCTGAATAACTTTTTCCTCCTCCTTCCTCTTCTTCCTGTCTTCCTCTTCCTGCTTTCTTTTCACTTCCATCTCTGCTTTTCTAAAATGTTGAAACAAAAGGTTTTTCTCATTGCAAAGAATCAAATCCATCACTTACTTATTATTGATTTACAAACATGTAGTCGGTTATATTTAGATCTTTTCCACTCACAGCCTTCTGTCCTCTTCCTCCTGTTTACGTCGCTGCTCTTCCTCCTCCCTCCTCTTCCTCTCCTTCTGCATCTCCTCCTCGATGTGTTTCAGTCTCTCCGTCTCTTCCTCCTCCCGTTTCTTCTTCTGCATGGAGGCGAGCAGCTGCTCGGAGCGTTTCACCAGCGCCTGGTACTCTGTGTCGATCTGCTTCCAGGTCATCACCGTGGCCTGGAGGTCAAACAGGAACAAATTAAAGGTCACGGTTACAAAACAAGCAGCAGGAAATAAAAAAAAAAAAAACCTACGCCAAAATCAGAAGAATTCAGTTTTGAAGGCTAAAAATCAAAATGTTTCAGAGCCAGAAAACATAAAAACTAAAAATAAAGTATAATTAGCTCGTCCACTGATTGTAAAATTCCTGCAGAATACTTTGTTAAATGGAAAACACATTTTTGTAGTGTTTTGACAGCGTTTTGTGTCAGAAATTTTTTAGAAATTATCTAGAAAAAAACTTGTGTTTCAAAAGTAGAAAAATTACAACTTTTGAAGCTTAGAAAATTTCCAAAAGTCAAAATTTTCCTAACTCTGAAATTTTGTAAGTTTTTCTAAGAATAAATAAATAAATAAATAAATAAATAAATAAATAAATAAATAAATAAATAAATGAATAAATTCTGAGATTAATCTCAAAATTTCTGAGTTTTTTTCCAGCAAATGTTTTACTTTTCAATCTCAAAAATTGACTTTTGCTGCTCCAACTAACTGACTCACTCTTTGGTTACCTAGCAACACACTCACTCTTTGGTTACCTAGCAACAACCTGTTGAGTAACTTGCGCAGCAGCAGATTAAGGTTGCTTATTTAAAAATGAACAGAAGTGAAAACTGTGGTTAAAACAAGGAAGGATCTGCCATCAGTTGGGAGTTTTTCAGATATTTCAAAGAAAAAAAAATCAATAATTGTAAATATCGACTTATAAGGCTTATAATGCGATACATTTTTCAGTCATATCAACCATTTCTACAAGAATTTTATTTATTTTTTATTTTTAAACTCAAATATTACAGGACATAACACTGTTATCTTGCATTTGTAGGACTAAACACCACGGAGGTCAATCATAATAGTGGTATTGATTAGCAATGTTTCCCATGAGGCCATGTGTTACACAGAGTGACAGTAAGTCTGTCAGTTGCACTTTGCAGGCTTGATGTCCAGTTCCTCTAAATATCTGCAAGGCATTGTGGGGATTCATTAGGATGAGTCTCTAACTGTGTCATGAAGAGGTGAGATGACAGATGTATAGAGGGCTGAACGACAGCCATTGGCATCTGATGCATTATTTACGCCACGCCAACAGCAATTGCCGAACCTTCAGAGTAACGTGTGTTTGACAGCAGGGATGCTAATAAATCAACAGTTAGGATGGAAAAAGTGTTTGGAGTGGAGAGAGAGAGTAAGAAACCAGGTCAGTGGCTCCTTAGTGTCAATCAGGATACCAATGAACACTATAATTACATTTGGTAATTACATACAGGAAGCCGCAGCGCACAAAAATGGCATCATTGCTACTGGAGAATTTTGAGCACCAAATTCAAATAGCATGAAATCGTGTTTCTGATTATTTGCTGCACCTTAAGGGTTCAATAACAAAAGGTGCATATTGCATGGGGAGAGCTGGGATTTACCTAAGCAACTGTGATTGATCACTGAGCAAAACAAATTCAATAAGTTAAATTATTGGAGTCTTTATCACAAGCTTTTCTCCGCCTCAGGTGATTGAAAACATTGATTCTCAGAGAAAGAATGAGAAAAGGGCACAAAACACTTAAAAAAGGTTATGGTGTGTTATACAAGGATGAAGGCTTCGTCTACATCCGCATCTCCACATGTACAGAAAATAAAATAAATATGAGTCAGAGAGGCTTAAAGAAAAAAAATGACCTTTGTCTTCCATGAATAAATATGTTTATGAAACTCAAACTGTTTAATGTAGATATTCAGGGTTTATGCTGGTTTCACCAACTCAAATTTAAGACTTTTTAAGACCATTAAGGATCAAATTTAAGACCTATATTTCCACCTAAATGTATGAATTTTGTAAAAGCTTGCTAGCTAGCAAGGGTATGTTAGCAGCTAGTTAGCGTTAGCCTCAACTGTTCTGAATCACAAATGCATGAAGACGTCTGACTTTTAAACCTTTACCTGACTGAAAAAAACACATGAAATATACGAGATGAAAAAGCCCTGTAAAGACAAAATTTAAGACCTTTGATTAACATATTAAAGGCCAATTTACTTAAAAAAGTAAATCAATTTCAGACATTTTAAGGCCTCACTTCAAATACATCAATCAATAACTTGATTATCTAAGCATCAACAAAAGAAAAAATTTAACACATTGTGCAAATTTCAGATAATAATTAAAATACACTATGTGAACAATTATTAAGCAAGTTTAAAGTTTCTATTTATAATGTAAAATTGACTTTAAGTGACTTTAAAAAGTCAAAAATTGGAAACATTCTGAGTCAGATGCATGATGTCAGAAACAGCCAAGATATTGAGGACAAAACAATCAAAAACAGAGAATCAGGGAAAAAGAAGCACAAACCAGCAGAGATTTGAGAGAAATCAAACATGAAACTGAAATACAAATCTATTCTTGTGCACTTTTAAAGTATTAGTTTTACATACAATAAACGTCATTGGATATTGACACAAAAAGCTGGTTCTTAGTTCCAGATGGAGGAGTTTCTACCTTGATCTTCGCTAACAGAGCGTCTACGGCTTTGGCCAGCTCTGTAGCTTGTTTGGCCATCTCCTGCTTCCCTTCCTTCAGTCCGTTCACCACCTCGTTGAAACGCTCCATTTGCTTCTTCAGCTTCTGGACTTTCACCAGACCTTCAATCCTGAATCAACAGAGTGAAAGAATTACCTTCTTATCTATAAAAAGCCTTTATTTTAAAATGGATGTTCTGTAATGAAAGAAGGACTGCAGGTATTTTGTTTGAATTAGTTCAATCAGTTTCAGTTTGGATATTAATAGTTATTCTAAACTCCATTTGCACTCAGACATAATTAACGTCTCTAAGCTAATAAATGTAGCTGATTAGCAGTAAATCAGCCATGCATCAGTGGGTATGTTGCTACATGGTTAGAATGCATCGATAACCAGTATTTATAGTGTTTTAGCCAGATCACTTAGCAGAAAGCTGATTACTTTTTATACATCAAAAATGGTTCCATGATTTAGAGTTTGATACAAAGCGTTTACTAAAATCAGACAGACACAATTTAAATCTAAATATACAAATCAAAGGAGAATTCAGTTCCTATTTGGATTCTTTTATAAAATCTGCTAATATTTAATAGAACTACAGCAACTTTTACAGTTACGTCATTATAACAATACTCAAGTTACAGTAAAAAGTACAAGGTATAAAAATGTTTCTAAAAGTTATTTTCCAAAATCTTACTCAAGTAAATGTAACTAAGAAAATCTAATTACTATGTAAAACAAAGTAAACAAAGGAGACTTTTGTGTTTTGGGTTCAAACCAAACTGCTGTGGTTTTTCCTCTCTGGTCCGAGTCAAACCAACCTGTTCCCCTCCTCACCTGTGGGGGCGCTGCACCAAGAGCCACTGACGGAAACGACACAAACACCTCCAAAAAACATCTTTCTTCATGAAATGTAAATAAATATGGAGTGGTGTCAGATTTTAGCGGTTGTAGGATTTCTCTTTAGTTTTTGGCTAAAGCCCATGAGCCATTTCTCCTGCTAGCGCTAGGCTAACGTGTTTGTTTAAGTTGTGTTTACCCAGAATGCCCTGCACTGTAGTCCACTTTCTGATTTTGGAGCGGTCTCTGGTCTGCTTGGTGTTCACACATGCATTCAAACCGAACCAGAGTTCACTTCAACCGAACAGAGACTGAGGTTTGTAGGCGGACCAGAGTTTTTACGCATCCACACTTTCCCAAACGAACCAGTTTCTAGGCAAACGGACTGCAGTTGGATGAAAGCGGACTGAACGTGTTTGGTGTGAATGCAGCCTTAGAAGCAAACAAAGCAGAAAGAAAAGAGGAAACTCACCTCGGCTTGTGTTTCTTCCTACACAGCCACATGCGGACCGTCTTCTGAATCTTAATACAGGCTACAGCTCTGTAATGCATTTTATTCCTCACTGCAAAGAAACAAAGATACTCAGTGTCACCAGCTGCTTACTTAGATTTTAAAGAGAATGTAACTTGACCATATATTTCGCTCTGACTCCACTGAAACAGAAATGTGAGAAAAACAGAACAATGCACGGCTGCAGGTCTGCTTTGGCAGCAGATTCTGGTCATTTGATGCTTAAAACCAAGCTGGACCCGGGAGGTTCTGTTTGAAACAGTGAAAACCAGCGGCTTGGTGCTGAGCATAAATAACCAGGCTGTGCTTCTACAGTGGTGTTGAGGCTGGAGGCTTTAATATTCAGACAGAAATGAAAAGTGGTAAATTTAAAATGGCGGACAGCCACAGGCCGCTTTGTATTTGATGCTACAGTAAAAACACACAGAATATCAACTTTACCATAACAGGAACAAGCAGCTTCAGCTTCACCACTAAACACATGAACCAAGTTTTTTTTTTATTTTTTAAAAAAAGACACAATTTGTTCCTTCAATCACTGGCGTTAAATCAGACTAAATGTTTCAGATTGGCTAAGAAAATGATTTCTGTTTCCAGAATAATGAAAGATGTCATTTCTAATGTTGGTAGAATTTAAAAATGTCTGTAATTTTGCATAGTATTCAGTATTATTGTCTTTAAAATGAAGGACTCTGGTCAAACATGCTGACTAACTTCATAGTATTTGCTATAATTCTGACAGAACTGGTGCAACTGGGTCACACACACTTTACTATAACTCAGAAACTTAAAATCATTCAAATCATTGCATCATCATCTTCCAAAACAATTTAAAGGTACAGTACTGTGTTAACTTCAACAATAAAGATCTTTTTCTCTCGTCATTCAGACATTAAGCAAACAGAAACAAATCTGAGCATTCAAACCAAACTAAAACAGGAAGTATTTACTCCGATTTAAAATTTAAATCTAGGGGTGTCCAAACTTTTTGTCAATTTATATTGTGATGTTTTTACAACTTGATAATGTAAAAGTTTAATTAGCTACATGTCAGATTTATTTTGTTGGAAAGGAACTTGAAGGTTAAACAAAATATTGTGGTTATTTAAAAATACTTTGTATTTTGATGAGATTTCAATTTGTCTTAAATCTTTCTGTCCCAATTAAAAATAAAAAATCTATTGCACAAAATCAGTGCAGGGACACAAATAAGTGATTAAACTAACCTGCTAACTGAATTGGGCCTATGTCTCTTTAAAAAAGGGGATAACAATATAACATGATGTGAAACTGAGAAAAGTTGATTTTGCTCAACATTTCACCTATAATTTTATGCAAAAAGCAGAAAAAAGAGTTTTTGTTCGTATCAGCGGTAAACTGTAAATCATTGCTCATATAAAGTGGTAAGCAGTTTTAGTACAAACATGAATTAATAAAGATTAATTCAACGTTTCACACCACAGCTGTTGGCTCATTCTGCAGCTTTTTGGACCTACGTTTGATGACAGACAGGCAGCACCACTGGACCTTCTTCCAGCGGCTGCACAGCAGCCACTTGTTGACTTTCTTCAGCAGCTCAGCGAGATGCGCTGGATCGGACTTCATGATCTGGTCAAACTCAGCAAACTGAAGCACAGAAACGCGTCACACTTTGACTCTTAATGGAGACGAATTTCTGCTACACGTTAAGAGTAAAACATCACCTTTCCTGGTCGGAAGAACACTTTGGTTAGTCCAAACTTGAAGTCTTTTTCATTTAGTCCCAAAGCTTTGAATAAAGCCTGTAAAGGATCAGATCAACAGTCAGTGATGCGTCATTAAAACATATTTTAATCACTTTTAAACAAGTTAATCGACAATCAAACACAGAAACAGAAGAGCTGACCTTGCAGAAGAGTCGAGGATTCAGCCGTGTGAGTTTGTCTGGCATGTAAGCCTTGTACATGTTGTAGAGTTCGTGGAATGGGGCCCTGGAGGGGAAGCCGCCCTGCATCAGGTCCAGAACCGAAACCATCCCTAACAGGGCCAAACACACAAACAAACCGTCATTTATCCAGCATGCATACAGCAGAACGTCCTTTAAATGTTTGTGTCAGGATGAATTGATTCAGCAAATTTATGTCCGACAGAAGCTTTTGTGCAGCATTATTAATCCATATAAACATGATTTTTAGCAGCACAACAGTTCAAGTGATGGTTTGGTTGTGAGTTTATGTTTGATTAACTGATTTTTACTTTTTTTTTTTCAAAGTTGCATCAATGCAGTGACTTACCAATTCTAGGAGATTCAATCACAAAATAATAATAAAATTACAAGCATCTATTTACTATGACTGAGGGCCATTCTAATAAAAAATAAATAAATAGTCAGGATAAAGTCATAAAATGATAAGAATAAACTCATATGAAAATAAAATCATAACACTACAAGAAAAATGTCAAAATAATACAAGAATAAAGTCACAATAAAACCAGGTTAAAATCATAAAATTACAAGAATAAAGCTGTAATATTATAACTTTATTCTTGTATTTTTTTTTATTTTTTTACTTTCCTAGAGTGGCCATAACAATTCATCGTAATTTAGGAGCAAAATAGGTCCAAATTAAAAACTTGGACAGAGTCACAGGTCAGCTTTAAACATTTTACAAATAAAGTTTTTTCTTCTCTCTCTTCACATAAATAGAAGAAAAGCCACATAACAAAAGCAGATATGAAGTAAAATCCAAAACAAAAACAATAAAAAGTGAAAAAAAAGTCTTATGTATCTTTATAACTCTATATTGTTGATGTGAAACTTAAAAACCTTCGTGGATAAAATCCCAAAGCATAACAAACTTGTCAGAAAAGTTAAGCTGTAACGCTTTCCACAGCTTTTTAATTTAAATTAATCGAGTTTGAAGAACTGCAAGTAAAAATGTATATGTGCATTTAATCGTTTATATAATTCCTGAGCTGTTTTTTTGTCATAAACTTAGTTTCCACCTGAGCACTGCAGCTGCGAGAGGATCAGCGCTCCTTCGAACTGATGGCTGACCATCTTCAGGTTCGGCTTCACGCAGCGAATGAAGCTGGAGCCCTGCACACAAAATGAATCATAAGAAGATCCAGTTATAACCACCAGCTTCATTTTTAACTCGACAATGAGAAACTCTGGACTCACCGTGCTGCGGAGCTTCTCAAGGAGCAGGTTTAGTTGCGTCTGTTTGTGCAAGAAGAAAAACTTTAGGCAGAAGTTTTAAAATAAGAGTCGTATGCAAGAGAGAAAGATTTTAAAATTAAATAAACTGTTCAAGGAGAAAAAAAGATATATTTCTCCAGAGTCCAGAGTTAATTTTGAGAGATGTCACAAAAGTGAGCAAGAGAAATCCTATTACACTGCAAAAACAAAATCTTATCTAGTTTGGTCTAGTGCAAATAACTTAGTGCACTAAAACATCTAAAAGCTTGTTGTAAGTAATAAGTCCTTAATATTGAAGAAAGAGTACTTGTTCCACTGGCAGATTATTTCACTTATAACAGGAAAAATGTCTTATTTCCTCTAGTTTTTAATTTGCTTTGGAGAGGGTATTTTTGCAGTGTATTGAGGAGAAATATGTAACTTTCCAAATTCTACCTAAATTAAAAATAAATACTAAATTATATCTTTGGTTATTCTGTTATTTAGTAAACAGAAATGATTTTTTAACTAACCTAAAACAGTTTGGTCTCAATTTTTGGCTTTTTCATGCTGTAAGTGACATAATCTGCCAGTGGAATGAATTATTGACTTAAAACAAGCTTTATTTCTTGCTGAAAAGTTACTTTTAAATTGATTTTGTGTTATTTCAAATGTGCAAAAGTAGTTAAAATGAAAACTAGACCAAAACTACTTTTGGTATTTGATTTTGTGTTTTTGCAGTGTACATCCTGAGTTACTACAGCAGTTTAATAAAATCCCACGTTACGTTTTTAAGATCTTAAGTTGTTATGGAGGATTTCACAAATGTTCCTGAGTTTTTTTTCTCTCACATATTTAAAGTTTTTTTTTTTTTGTGAGATCTTGAGTTGCTTTTTTCAGATCTTCTAAAACTTTTTCTTGTTTTGCGAGAAGCAACAATACATCCTGGGTTACTTTTACAAAATCCCACAAAGGTTTTGGGGGAAATAAGCAAGATAGAATATTTTTAACATAATTTGAACAATTTAATTTCAATAATCAACTTATCATAATTAATCTGATTAACTGGTTTAGTCCTGAACAGAATTACAAACATTTCCTGGAAGAAAAAGACATGGACATAAATGTTGATGATAAAATGAGTGTTGCTCAACTTAGAGTTTATTTATATGTAGCTGATTTGAATGAAAGCTGATTTATTCTAATAAAACAAAGAACAGCTGTTGTTTTATTTTAGTTTCGTTGCTGTTGCTTTAAAACTCCCTGTTTTTATACCTCAAGCTGACTTTTTCCAGATCTATCCACCAAGGAAGGTTTTCTCAGAGGAAAGAGGTGAGACTGGAGGAAATCTAAGAGGAGCGTCCGAACTAAGGACAAGAAACTGAGAAACAGGAAGGAGAAGGGAAAGGAGATTAGAGTTAGCTCACTTTCTACTAGTCTGAAAAGAAGCTTAGAGAGATCAGAGGCAGCAAATAAACAGAGAGAAAGTGAAAATGGGTGGATTTCACATTCTGATTTCACAAACTAACTTTGACAAAGTTCCTGCTCAAGCAAAACCAATCAGATATCTGTAAATTAAATACTTCATGTTTAAATCAGATCAGGAAAATTATTAAGAGACAGAAAGTAAAAACGTTCTGTCTCTTAGCGTCGGCTGTTTAGTTTTATCAGCCGACGCTGATAAAACTAAACAATAAAGGTTAATTCTATAGTTTGAGATAGATTAAAACTGCTGTGCTTTATTTTTGTCAGTCCCTCCAGTTTTAAGCAATAGCAGAAATTTACGCAAAATCAACAACTCACGCTTTTTTTCTAATGCATAGTTGCAAGTTTTTTGCAATTTTTTTTGCAAAAATGATGAAAACATTGGGTTTACATGATTCTACCTCCCACCTGCAGGTGGCAGTATGTTCTACTTCTACTCCACTGCTGCCTCAGCCTTTCTTAATGTCAATATCAGGATCGATGTGGCGAGTAAAATAAAAGAGAGCTATTTCAGTCGCTTAAATAATAAAAATTTCTCATCGTTTTTTCTTCTATATGTAGATTTTGGATGAGTTTAATGGAAAAAAAAATCACAAAACAATTCCTTGCACATATTTCAACAGTAGCTCCACAATTTCAGTGATTTTTATTGCAAAACAAATTACAAAACAATCGAGAAAAGGAGGAGGGTCTGTTTAGGATGTGTTGATTAAAGTACTGTTTACTGCAGGAGCCATTTGTGGCCCTTTTGAAAATAAAATGATCATTGATCAGGTTATAGCTTCTTTATTAGAAAATGTTTGTCATTTAAACCATTTCTTTTTTATTAGCCACAAACCTTTTAGTCAAAATCAGACTAACCCTGGATAAAATTCTCCTTTTTGTAACTGAAAACATTTTATGGAGCACCAAAGTAAAAACATTTGGTACAAAAAGTTAAAAATAAACACCTGAGGCTTTTTCAGATCTACAATAATCTTTTCTACTTTGCTTCACTGAAATACGACAGATTTAATTCGTTTTTTGTGACGGCGAAAATGAAAGAATTCATGATAAAATGATGTTTGACTTTAATTTGAAAAAAGAAGAGAAAATTGTGACCTCAGAGTTTTTCCAAGTTGCCAATTGGTGCAGAAAGGGGCGACCTGCGCCACTGACCTTGAATTTGTTGCCGACGCTGATGAAGCCGAGTTTGCCCGCCTTCTGTTTGGAGTCCTTGGAGGTGCTGGAGTTCTCAAACAGCTCTCGAACAAATTTGTCTTTTGATTCACACACTAAACTCTCCAAGGACATGTGGAGGGCGTCATTATTCTTCTCCACGAACCGCGTCTGTCAACACAAGCGCATTCGCATTCATTTATGTAGTGGAAGGCTTCGTTTGCCACATACTGATGGAGCGTTAAACCCAGTGAAGAATGGGATACGTTCTGCACATACCAGCAGGTTTCTATATGTGACGGAAATATTCAATAACTCAAAATATTCACTACCACAAACGTCAGGATTTGACACACCAACTCAAACAGAAGCGTTTTGGATCTATAATGATTTACACATTCCTCTTTCTACAACAATCTGACTTATTTTTTGTTTAATTAAATTAAATTAATTAAATCAAAGTCTAATTTTGAACATAGCAGTTGTCAGAACTATTTGGACCAAACATTTCCACCTGTCTAAGGTTGGAGAATCAACAGATTAATGAGTTGGTGGACGATACAGACATGAAATTTTCAGTTCAAAGCTACTAATTCATCCCAGAGGGAAATTAAATTTAATTTTAACACAATATTTTGTGATAGTATTGTGATAACAATAAAAGTGACAATAAGAAATATTTATAATTATTTTTTAGACCCACAAACTCAGATACTTCTCTTGAAAAACATACCAATAGGTAAATAACACAGAAAGTGTGATTTATGTCTCTAAAAAGCAAACTGTCTCTGAACTTAATCACATTTTTAAATGTATTTATTTTTATTCATTCTGTAGTTGAACAAATAGTGGAACAAAATTGTAAAATTACCAACCTTGACAGTTTTGGTGGGTTTTAAACATCATTAATTAGAATTTATTGTGACGATAAATCAGAATTTGTTTATTTTTTATCAATTTGTTATAATGAAAAACGATGTGATGTTTCTAAATCTGATAAAAAATTCACAAGTCTTAAAAATTGCTTAAATTTCTGTCCAATCATATCGAACCCAAACAAATTTGCAAACCATAGCGGCAAAAAATATTAATCTCAAAAACGAGCAAAGCTGGTAAAGATCCTCAGACCTTCAGCTGCAGCTGTTCAACACCATTCAGCTCATTTTCCTTCACCTTTACACCATTTTCTGTTGCTTTGTCACACCAAACCTCAATAATACACATTAAAGTGAGGAAACTCAAAGGGTGTGAAAACTTGTACAAAAATACAACTTCTGGTAAAAAATATTAACGTTATAAATACCGTTTCATAGCAGACGGCCCCTGCAAAGTGGCGGATCATAAAACCTTCGTCGTCTCGAAGGTTCCTGTGGATCGCCAGCTTTGACTTCCTGGGCACCTGAGCGGGAAAGGAAACACACATTTTGACTAATATCATCCTGGATTGGAGGAATTTTTTCCAGAACTGTTATTATGTCCTTGGTGTTGAGATGAGCAGAGAGCTACACTTTAAGAATATGCGCATCCTTTAAAACTTAGTTCAAGGATTCGTTGTACTTATTCAATGAGTGTGCTTGAATAGCAGGCTCAAGAATTTCTGAATGCCACTTTCATCTTGTTGAGTTTAAGTGCTGTGAAAGGGTCCAAACATTGATCATTCTTCAGAACCAACAATGAAAAAGAAAAAAAAAAAAACGGAGGCAGAAATTGAGGGAAGATTGAGGAAAAACGAGCCTCTGAAAAGCTGCAGAAGACGTGCAGTAGAAATGTTGGCTCACAGCACATTCAAACTTCATTTTTCACCCTATTAAGTGCACAGAATAGTCTTCATTTAAGAGACAACAATGGCATCGCTGCAGCCAGCCACCTCTAATGGCGGGCTTGAATAAGTGTCAAGGCTAGATTCTTTAAAGAATTTCATGTTGGCAGATAATCAGGCAGACTGGCAAACAATATGGACAAAGACGGCGACCAGGGAGGGACTGGGACCGTGCGTCACTCACAGAGCTGCAAAACTGATCGCAACGACACCAAGAACAGAACATAGACTCTCTGCATTTAAACCTATGCAAACCAAGTGACTCAAAAGAATCAATCATTGCAACATGCAACTAAACAGTGAAGTGACGATGTGCGACTTCAGTACTGCAAACCTAAAACAGATTGATACGTTTGGTTTAGTTGTACAGAAGCTCAGACTGATTGTCACGATAAGAAATTTTTCAAGTAATAAAATGGAAATGCAAGATCAATGAACTTTAAATTCTAACGAACATTTAACACTTGAGCAGGAAGACATTTTAAAGATGCAAAATAAATAAACAAAACAACAGAAACAAATAAAATGAATTAGAAAGTCTCAGGATGCAAAAATATCCTTCAAAAAAAGGACAAGTTGAGACCAAAGCAGCAGATTAAAGACTTTTATCATCCAGTTCTTGGTAGAAAGAGAGAAAAGAGAAAAACTATAAATCCCACAAATGGAAATGATTGATCTGTTTTTCATTTATCATGTGATTAATTGATTATTACCAACAACAACATTGTATTTGTTAACCTACATACATTAAATAAACATGGTGTCATCAGAGCATATTTTATCTTTCAATGCTGAAGTCATTTCTCTTTGGTTTGCTTAATCAGAAGTGGAGTAACATCTGTAACGTAAAACATTACCCGTTTCCAAAATAATCACAACTTGCCAAATACTTTACTTTCTTTTAATTGACTCAACTTAAATAGATTAACTCATTAAGCATTTTTTAATCCAAAAGTTCCACTTGTTGAAGATGAGTACGAACCACAAGTGGATGAGAATTAAATTATATTCACTTGAAATCCTTCCAGAAGGTTTTGTTTCACAGTGAGGTCACGTCTTCCCAAAACACCAAAAGGACCAGAAATGAGGCCAACAGAAAACAGTCCAAATGTCTGACCGTCAGTCTGAAGTGATCCTTGTGTTTGGTGTGAACGGCCGAAGTGAAGTGCTGATCGCTGGGCTGAGGAAGCCGGTTCTCCTCATCCAGGATGTCCAGGATTCCCACCAGCTTCGCCTCCACAAGATCTGGACAGAAATTTAAAGATCCACCACAGGATTACAGCTTCTGTTTACACTTAACGTCCAGTAACTTATGCTGATTAGGGATTATGATTGGCTTTGCTGATGTTGTGAGACATCAAAGTTTTACGTCTTAAACGAACCTTTCAGACGAGTTTCAATAAATTGGGTTCATGATTAAGAAATTACAAAATCACAAAATGTTTTCCTGACTTTGGGATTCATTGAAACTTCCACTGCTCATCATTTCTGAATTTGATTATTTAAAAAGTATAAAACATGTTCCTGGATGCTCATTTATGCACATGTTTGAATTATTCATCCAACACGCTGTTCAGAGAATAATGTTACAGCCAAGGACCTTAGAAAAATTAGCATGAGCAAGCACCTGTGCATAAATGCAGAAGATTGATGAGTGAATTAATGGCCATCCCAAACGGTCATTTGCAAGTCATAAATGTTATTCACTGCTGTCAGTTAGCCACACACCTGAATAATCACAACCTTTGAAATACAAATCAAACTCATTCACCTTGGTACGTGGACTACTTCAACTCATTAATTCCAGGATTGATTCGAGGACAAACGGAACCAAAACAAGAGGCGTAATCTGAGCTTCTCGCGGCGCTGAGGGGCCGTAAAACCCTCCGACACTCAGCGCACCGTCTCCCTTCAGTCAAACAGACATGGACGCTTTGGGAGGAACAGGAAGTCTGCGTTTCTGCATGTACCGGCTGTGACGCAGATCCCAGAGGACAGATTCAGGTGAACGCCGCGTGGCTGGGCGGATATATTTATAGAAACATTATTTCTTAGCTTCATTAGCGGCATTTTCTAAAAATATTAGCATGCATGTAAAGCAGAAGTCAAATTCTCGGTGATAGTTATTGTAAATGGACACCAAGATAACATTTCTGATAGTTAACTTTAATATTTTATGTATTTGTTACTTTAATTTCCATTAGAGCTGTACATAAATAAAGCAGCATTAATACTGTAAATTTTGGTTTCCATCTAATTCGGTACTTCAAACACGTCAGAAATAAATAGAAAGAGGAGAAAGTAAATCAAAAAGCACCAAGTGATAAACGATCTCAGGATTTCAAGTTAGCTGCTCAACATCTTTATGTTGCAATAAATGCTTTTATGTGCAGCATCAACATTGTTATTCCATAAAGTTGTGTTTTAAGTTGGTCCAAATTTTTCATTTTCACCTTCCCACTGAACCAGCATCATTCTGTCTCATTTTTCTCTGAGCAGCGGTGTATTTGGGGGATTCCTCTGAATAATTCAGGTTTCTTCTTCCTAAAATCACTTGCTGTGAAGCACATAATTAATCACAATTGAACAGTGTAACTGAATCTACTGCAAATTAATATGCAAGAAAACAAATTAGTGCAACAACTTCAGAGTGTACCGATGCGTATTTTACTTTAACAGAGCTGATGATGAATTTACAAACTGTAATAATGATACCAAATGTTCATGTAAATAAATATAAATATCCTAAAGGTTTCAGTCAGAAACTCACCAATGCAGTCCTGGTTGTCCACATAATGCACCTCGTTCACCCCCAGCCCTTCCCTCTGGTAGAGCTCCTGCTCCTGTTACCACCAAAACACAGAAATCAAACACTGAAAGAAACTCTTCCAGGTTTTCAAACAATCCAACAAGCTTCAAACTAACAACTTCTATATAATAAGTACTGAGCAGAACCAGAATTGACAGCCACTAATTAAATGACATTACAGGAGAGGAAAAAAGCTGAAATTAGCACTCTAATGGGAAAGCTCAAAGGAAATGTGGGCGTAGAAAGCGAAAAAGAAAGCAGAGTGAGAGAAAAATCGACTGCATGCAAACAATGTTTCCTTTTTTTGCGTTTGGCTCATCACCCACCTCTTTGAGGATGCGTTCGTTGAAGAACTGCTGCAGTTTCTCATTGCAGTAATTGATGCAGAACTGTTCAAAGCTGTTGTGCTCAAAGTATTCTGAGGAGCAAAAAACAGAAGATACATTTCAATTAAAGCCCTGACAAATAAATGCAAAGCTGATAGAAATTATAGGAACGGGGAAATGAGTTTCTCCAGCAAGATGCCTGGTGAGGAGTGTGTTTACGCATCATATTAGCTAAATTAAAAATCAGGCCACACACACAGGCAACATCCTCCTCAACAAGGCACAAGAGAAAAGAAATGCAGATTTTGGCAAATTACAGGTAAAAGGTACAACATAATACTAAGGCTGTTGAAGATAAAGAAAAGGGATTAAATTTCTGCTTTTTTTTAGGATTTTCTTTTTTACTTTTGGAGCTCAGAAATAAAACAAAAAAAATTTAAAGAAAATTCCTGAGATTCATCTCGTTATTTTTCCCCTGAAATTTAAACTTTGACCTTCTTGTTTTTTCTAGAAAATTTCTAAAATCAATCTCAACTTTTCTGAGATATTTTCAGAATTTTTCTAGTAAATTTGTGAGATTAATTGAAATTTTTTTGACTTTTTTTCTTCCAAATATTTGACTTTTGGAGCTCAGAAATCTTCAAGTTTTTCTAGAAAATTTCTGAAATTAATTAAAAAAAATTAATTTTTTCTAGCAAATTTCCCACTTTTAAGACATTTTAATGTTTTTTTTCTAGAAACCTTTTTTGGCAAACTTTTTTCCCCTGTTTTCCTAGTAAACCAGTGTTTCTCAGAGCGGATCTGTCGTTACCAAACCCGGCAATGTCCAACACGCCGATGAAGTTGGAGGACGCCTGGAAGGGGAAGCACTGGTTGACCCGTTTGACCACGTGATCGAAGAGGCGGCTGTACACGGCCTTGGCCAGCGCGTCCCGAGCATTGTTCGCCTGCTCCACCTTTAGAGGAACCCTGGAGGGACACAAAAAATGGGGCAGTGAGAGAAAGTCTAACTGGGACAGCGCCGCTCTGTTTTCACTTTTTCCAAATCAGCCCCATTTCTAAAGTGGTGTCTTTCAAGTTGCTTGGAGCTTAATATTCCAGCTAGGAGTTTAGTTTTAAAAGAAACCTGAACTTTGAACTCTACCTGAATCTCTAATGGCGCCTTTTTCACTATTCATGTTCGAATTATTCACAGAGGTTGCCTGATCTCACAAAGTGCAGGTCAAAGAGTTCGACTGAGCTGTCCCAGCTGGGAAGAAGTTGAATTTTAATTTAAAATAGCCCCTTTAGCCGTTTTTCTCTTTTCCTTCTACTTCCTTTTGTTATTTGGCTCAGAAAGCCCTTCAGATACAGAAGCCCATCTAAAACAAAGCAGATTTTCTTGTTTTTACATTTAAAACCAAACAATTACTCTCATTGACGGTTAATTTTATCAGCTGCAATGCTTCATCTGATGAGTTAAAAGACTTTTCCCTCCCAGGGGACGCCTGGATGTATCTGCAGCTTGGTAACAAAGGGCCCCCCCCCCTCGCTCCACCTGCTCCCCAGACACCGGGGCTTCAGCGCGCCGCAGCCACGCTCCCCTGCCTCCTCAGACACAAGCTGCATTATTGATGTGGAGGAAACACTTCCAGGCCAGGCCAGCAGCTGGCCCCTTCTGAAATATTCATCTGCCAAACATGGCATCACCACCAAAGTACAGAGGAGCAGTGTTAATATCATACCCTCATTTGCATACGCTCGTTTAACTCACGGGGCATGTAGAGAGACAGATTAGGAAAAAGAGAAACATCTCCTTTAGCTCAACTCTGATTATTTCACTGAAATCACCTCAACGTTTATCCTTCTGACTGAAGCAGGACTGGTTTCCTTACTTGATAACCGTGCCTTTGGCGCCCCCTGCTGTTGTGAGCATAACTCTAGTTGTGAGGCTGACCCGCAGGTCGTCCTGGTCCAGACCCAGCAGCTCCGCGCAGAACTTCAACGTCTGGTCCGACTGTTTCTTAATGGTGCAACCACCTGGAAGCAAAAGCAATAAAGTAAATAAATAAACAACAAAACCTCGTAACCGAGGCGTCCTGATAGGGTTTTGTTTTTACTGGAGTCTTGAAACAGAGACACGACCTTCACAACGGACAACAGAAAGAAACTGACCAATGAACAGCAGCATCTCCACTTTTATTACCTCCTCAAACTAAGTTGCTATTGAAGGGCTACAATTTACTTTTCAGTTACAAAAATGTATGAAAATACCACTTAGATTTTAAAAAAGACAATTTTTATCTACTTGGTTGAAATAAAACAATGACAAAATGCAACATATACACAACGTATTGAAAGATTAGACTTGTCACAATATCACATCTTACTGGACAATAAATTATTCTGATAGACAATGTATCATTTTTCAGGTAATATATTGATAATAGAATAATAATGCAAGTTCACCATGAAGTTTAATTTTTTTTAAACAACACGTAACTCCAGAACAGAAAGATATTTTAAATATCCAAAAGCAATAAATAAAACTGAAACAAAAACCAAACACAACCGAAACCCAGATATAAAGTGGAATATTGTTCAAAAAACATTAAACATCAAATCGGAAGTTGAGCTGATTTGAATTTATCATGAAATTAAATGCAGAAAATAAATTTTGTCATAAAACCTGAACTCAAATTTTAGGTGCTAGAACAGAAAATAGTGTATAATTGTGGGGGAAAAACATACATTTTAAATGTGGGTGTGTTTTTTAACAATTAAAAACCTAAAAATGTTTCCAAACATTTGGATTTAGATCACTTCCTGATACCAACTCTGGAGGAGCTGCAGAGATTCGACTCTGAGATCTAAGTCACAAATCTGCACTTTATGGGAAGAAGAAAGCTAATGTCGACCACAGCAAACATCGCTATGATGAAACATGGTGGTGGCAGCATCATGGTGTGAAGATGCTTTTCTTCTGCAGTGGAGGAGAATCTGGTCAGAGTTGATGGGAAGATAAACAAAGGTAAATCCAGGACGATCCTGTTAGAGGCTGCCGAAGACGTGAGACTGGGGTGAAGGTTAATCTTCCAGCACAAAAAGTACAGCCAGAGCTACAACCAAAGTTTAGATGAAACCAGGACCCAATCCAACTGAAAAATCTATGGCAGAACTTTAAAATGGATGTTTACAGAAACTTTGTGTCCAAATGTGACAGAAGAAAAGTTGAAAAATGTTGGTAGAAATCAATATAAACTACTTCAAGATCATCAGTTGCATAAAACAGCAAAAAAATAAAAGGTGGAATTGAATGATGTTTGTAATGCCGTGGAATAAACTGATTATCCAACCCAGGGTTTGTGTTTTTTAGAGCCTAAATAATAAAATATTCTTGATTATTGCTTGTTTCTCACCTGAGGAGCTCCCAGTTTCTTCAAAGTCGATGTTTCCCAGATGCAGAACCCCAGCGACGACCCTGAAGAGGTCCAGCTTCTCCGTGTCGTTCAGGCCGATCTTCTTCATCGCCACACACATCCTGTTGAAGTCGCCCTGGTCGTCCAGCAGGGGGTCGCGGAGAGCGCCCAGCTTCACATGCTGTGGAGGAGTCAGGAAGTAAACCGAGGCTAAAGAATTCAGCTCAGATCAAGTCACTCAGACACAGGGATGCACGGATATGAAAATCTGGACCGATATTGATATAAATACTGCTGTTATGTACGATGGGGCTGCATGGCCCCATGCAGCCCCATCGTACCGCTGATCAGCTGATCACTGCTGATGCCTTGCAGCAAGAAGACAACGAGGACGACAACAGGAAGTAGTTGGAGGATGATGTTTATTGTTTATTTATGATTTATCGTGTGAACAAACATATTCACTTGTGATTTTGACTGAATTTGTCATTGAATGGAAAAACTGCAAATGCGAAATTGTATTTTTTTAACATTAGTGTATTATCAACAAATGCAGCAGCTGTTACCGTCACATGACAAACCTCCAGAAATAAATGGCAACAAGATGGAAAGATTGTTTATTTTGGCCCAGTTTATTTATGTTTAATTGAACCAATACCGATATGTTAAAACCAATATCGGCCGATACTGATGTTAGTGCCGATATATCGTGCATCCCTATTCAAACTTTACACTATAAAACTGCAAAACAGGTTTGAAATATGAAAAACAAAGAAATGCCTCCACCAGCAGAACTCAGCAAGCTTTATAGAGCAACAGGTTTATCTCTGTATGTGTTTTTTACTTTATTTTTCCACCTTTGGAACAACAAAACAACAAAATGTTACTAAAAGAATAAAATAATCATCCATGAATATATAAGAATAGTTCTGCATCACAATAAATCTTGTAAAGTGATCACTGAAGATGAATTGTTCTTCAATATTTAAAAAAGGAGGATTTTTTTTTTTTCTAAGAGGGTGGCATGGCTGCATGTGAAATTTGCATGAAGTTCTGCAGCCGTGCCTTCAAGGTCTGAAGACAGCTGAATAATTAAGCAACACCAAACCCAGATCCAAGCTGGCATGCAAATGCAAAACAAAAATAAAATAAAAAAAACTTCATGCACCCATTTCCTGTTTTCACTAAAAGCGAGAGCATGGAAAACTCTGACAGCAAGTCAGAAAAAACACAGGAGGAAAAACAAATCACCTTATTTTCCTGTTTATTATCAGCGACGGGACAGAGAGGAAATGACATCATCAGGAGAGGAAATGACATCATCAGGAACGAATAAATCAGTTTTACTTACATCACAGGACGTTCATCATTCAATTACTGATTATGGATATTATTAGCAAACAATATGATTAACACGACTGATTTCAAATGAAGCAGTTTTTATTATTACAGATACAAATATAACCTATTAAGTTTAAAAAAACAATGTATTAGGATCTCACTGAAAAGTGAATTTATTTAATTGTTTCAAGTGTTAATTAGGCCCGAGCAGCTAAGCGCTGCGAGAGCCTATTGAAACTGTACTGTTTATTATTAGGCCCGAGCAGCTAAGCGCTGCGAGAGCCTATTGAAACTGTACTGTTTATTAGGCCCGAGCAGCTAAGCGCTGCGAGAGGCCTATTGTTTTTGTAAAAATAATTATTATTATT